CAGCACTGAGCTGCAATGCAAAAATATGGACCATATTTACAGCCCTGAATTCTGTGTACTCTGGATCTACCTGGGACAAGCTAATCTATCAGTATTTGCCACTGCAGAAGACCGTGTGGTCAAAATGCATCTCGCAACTTAAATCCTTATTTTATCCACATCAGGTAGCTGAGTTATAGTTTCTTCAGTTATTCAATCGAGATTGGATTTTATTATAGTGTTTAGAGGTTTTATGCTTTACTGTAATTTTTAATGACTCATGTACAACAATATATCAAGTACAATTTGCAGCTGATTTATTTATTGCATTCTCTGCTCTTCTTTCAAAGAGTTCAGAGCGGCATATATGCTTTCCTTACCTCCAGTTAATCTCACTAAAATCTGAGAGGGATTAGCTGGCCCCAGGTTTATCAGTGAGCTTCATGGTGAGTTGAACCCAGGTCTCCCCACAATTCTAATCTGCCCCACTAACTCAGGGGTAGACAACACAGCATCTTCTAGAAGTTGTTGGACTACAATTCCCATCATGGTGATGTTGGACTTTCTTCACCAACCAAGTTTTCGCAGCGTCTGGGGCGATGGAATAAAAACTTGCCTACAATATATTTGCTTACTTTATTTTTAAATAATAATCAAACAGCTGCAACTATGGTTAAGAAGGTTAAATATTTGGGAATTTGGTTAACCCCCCAAAATACTGATCTGTTTCAAAACAACTATATACCAATGTGGAAAGGAATTAAAAGGGACCTGGAAGTGTGGGGGAGGATGAAGTTATCAATTTGGGGAAGAATTTCAACGATAAAGATGAGCGTGTTACCAAAGATGCTATTTTTATTTCAGACAATCCCGATAATCAAGACAAGACAAATCCGTTTATTGTGAGGACCATGCCTGTACACAAACATTAACACAACAATAGTTAAAAGATATTAAAATTCATTACATACTACGCCAACAAAACCTTCATCCCACAAAATAGAAAGAGAGGGAAAACGAGCAACGAGTTAAACAGACGATGAAGGGGTCTTTACATTGTCATCCATAAGTCTTTCCCTGGCTTTCATGGCCTTCATCACAAAAACCGCTACCACATGGGTAATACGTGGGTTTGCATCAACTAACAAAAATTTTACTCTATCTTCAGGATTGGTTATAGAGTTGGGTATAATTTGCAGCAATGCGTCTCTAAAGCTCGAGTAGATGGGGCAATAGAGGAGGTAATGTGTAAGATCCTCTTTAATTTTCATAAGGCAAGGGCATAAACGATGTTCTACTGGGGTTTTTGTGAATCTACCGGTCAGATATGCAGTTGGCAGTGTTTGAAACCGTGCCATAGTGAAAGCTCTCCGAAGGGTGGGGTCAGTGATCTCCACCAAGTAGTTGGCACAGATTTTGACTGCTTTTACTCGGGAAACCAGTAGGAAAACCCAGAGTTTTTATCTTTGTGGAGTCCAAAAGGCGTCTTTTTCAAAGATCCATTCCCGAACTTTATCAGGGCTCCACAATTTAAGGGTATTAAACTCAGGTAGATTGTATCTGGATAGGATATCTAGTAGGTTTTTATGCCAAGTAGTATTATTTTGTAATGATACAAAGGCTTGTTTAGCCAATAAGGTGTTCGGGGCATCTGTGAGGTTGGTGAAAAAACGCAGGAATCTTAAGTGGGCCCTGGCAGACACAGAAGGTAATCCTACTTCCACTCTTAGGAGAGCTGCCGGAGTACTCTGAGGGAGGCCTAGAATTCTTCTGAGGTAAAAATTTTGGAAGATTTCAAGCCGTTCTAACAGCTTCTGATTCCATCCCCAGAGTTCTACTCCATATAGCATCTGGGGAATCACTTTTCCAACAAAAGCTTTTAATGCCGGGATCACCAGTTGCCCTCCCCTCGAATAAAAAAGCTGAGCAGGGCACCAATTGTCCTACGTGTTAGAAGGGCTACAGTCTTGAAGTGGGCAAGCCAGCTAGATGTAGCTTGGAAAGTGATACCAAGATATTTAAAAAAAGACACTGTTCAATTTTGTGTTCATCTAAAGACCATCTAAATGTGTGGCGAGCTCTAGTAAATACCACAATTTTTGTTTTGTCATAATTTATCTTTAGAGAGTTTTGGGAACAATAAGCTGCGAGCCCCTCCAGCATGCTATGTAGGCCCCTTCGAGTAAGTGCCATGACAGCCATGTCATCAGCATATAGTAATATATTCAGGTGTTTGCCTTCCAGGGCAGGAGCTGATGACTTATACTTTGCCATATGTTGAACAATGTCATTTATATAGAAATTAAAGAGGAACGGCGCTAACAAACAGCCCTGTTTAACCCCTTTCCCCAGTGGCAGTGGATCAGTATAGTTGCCTGACATCCCAGTTCTGATTTTAACTGTGGTGTCTGAATGTAACTCTCTAAGTATTTTGAGAAGTCGTCTATCAATATCTGTTTCATGTAATTTTTGCCATAATTTGTCCCTACAGATTGAATCAAAAGCGGATGTGAGATCTACGAAAGCCACAAAAAGTTTGCTCTTATGTACCTTTGTATACTTATCTATCATTGTCTGTAGTACCAAACAATGGCCTGTTGTACTATGGCCCTTTCTAAACCCTGCCTGTTCCGGATTAAGCAGGTTAGAGTGGTCAGCCCAGTCAACCAGTTTATTTAGCAGGTAGCGAGTGTAAAGTTTATACACAATGTCCAGGAGACTTATGGGGCGATAGTTTGAGGGGTCTTGGGGGTCTCCCTTCTTATAGATGGGGGCTACCAGGCTCAGTTTCCAGTTTTCTGGGATTTTGCATATATCATTTATTACCGTAAAAGTTGGGCCAAAATAGCAGCCCACCACTGGGCATTTAGTTTAAATACCTCAGGAGGAATCATATCCTCACCGGGAGCTTTGCCATTCTTGAGTGTTTTAATTAGCTGTAAACATTCTGATTCGGTAACAGGATCCCAGCCCATTAATAGATCGTTTTTAAGAGGAGGAAACTGGCTCGGTTTAGCAATGTTTGGAGCTGTATATAGCCGGGAAAAGTGTTGGTACCATAAGTTAGATGAGATACTGTTGGTTACAATTTTCCCTTTGGGTGAAACTCCCTGGGCAATTATTTCCCAGAACTTTTTGTCATCCCGCAATTTGATCGCTTTATCAAGTGCCTCCCATTGTTCCTTTCTATAGAGGGATTTCTTAAATTTTAGAGTATTTTTATAATGAGAACGCCACCTGTGCAGGTTTTCCAATGAGGACAAAGGGGCAGTAATATTTAAAGAATGGCAAAGAACAATTTCAAGGTATATCTGGCAGGGTAAGAAGCCAAGAATACAGTTTAAGTTGTTAACAGATGCGAAAGAAAGATGAGGCTTCGCCCTACCAGACTTGAAATTGTATTATGAAGCATCATGCCTCTGTTGGTTGAAGGAGTGGATGAGATTAGAAAATGGAGAATTGTTAGGCTTGGAAGGATTTGACAACAGATTTGGTTGGCACGCATATTTATGGTGTGATAAGAAAAAAATTCACAAAGGCTTTGAAAACCACATCTTCAGAAGATCTCTTATAGAAGTTTGGGATAGGTATAAAAACCTATTAGAACCAAGGATACCACACTGGTTGTCTCCATTAGAGGTGATGAGTGTAAAGAAGATCAATATGAGGGGGAATTGGGTAACATATGGGAACTTGATTGTTAAAGAAGGAGGTAAATGGAAATTGAAACCCTATGAGGAAGTTAAAGAATATGTTAATGATTGGTTGCATTATTATCAGGTTAATGAAATGTTTAAAAAAGAACTAAAAGAAAAAGGTTATGTTGAAAAAGAATCGAAATTTCAAATAGAGATATTGAATAATGAATTTAAAATTTTATCGAAGATGTATAAATTGAGGCTAGAATGGTACACTAAAGATGAAGAAATTAAATCGGTTATGATTCATTGGGCTAGAGATTTTGGATATAATATACAGTTATGTGAATGGATAAAACTATGGAACGAAAGGTTAAAATTTACAGCCTGTACTGCGTTAAAAGAAAATGGTATGAAAATGGTATATAGATGGTATATAACACCAGTGAAGTTAGCAAGAATGTATAAAGTGTGTAATAAATGTTGGAAATGTAAAGAAAAGGAAGGGACTTTTATCATATGTGGTGGGAATGTAAGAAGGTGAAAGGCTTCTGGGAAATGATATATAACGAATTGAAAAAAATGTTGAAATATACATTTGTTAAGAAACCAGAGGCATTTTTGTTAGGAATAGTAGGAAGTGAAATAAACAGAAAAGATTATAAGCTTTTTTTATACGCAGTAACAGCAGTAAGAATACTGTTAGCCCAAAAATGGAAACAAGAAGAATTGCCGTCAATGGAAGAATGGAGAATGAAGTTAATGGAATACGCAGAACTTGATAAACTAACAGGAAGGATCCGAGGCCTATGAGACCACAGATTCACTGAAGACTGGAGTAAATTTGTAGACTATTTGAAAAGTATTTGTGATGAACAATTAACGTTTGTAGGTTTGCAAGAGGCTCTGTGAAAATAATATTAGAAATATTGTAAAAAAGGGAATAAGAAGGAGGAGGTTTTTAATAAAATGCAATACTAGATTAAGAAATGCGGAAGAACTAAAACGGAGGATTTGCAGAAGAGCTGAGGGAACTGCAAAAAATGTATTTGTGAAAAATTGTGTTATGTGTTTTTATATTTTTGTATTGTAAAATGAATAAAAATAATTCAAACAGCTGCAACTAACCACTCTACACCAGCCAGTACCATACAACGCATTTGGTCAACTTAAATACAGTTTTCAAAATAATCAATTACCGTACCCTATCACATCGCTGCATTTGGTGCAGTAGGTAAACTCCCCCTGCTACTTAGTTAAATTGTTAAGATACCACAGGTGTGTTGAATTGTTAAGAGCTCACAGATGTGCTGCCATGCAGGTTATAATTACAAACACACACCTCTGAGTAGCACCATTGACCACATCAATCCTCCAGCACCATAATTCAAAAGCATCAATTCTTCAGAGATCAGTCTTCTTTATGGAAGTGAGAGCTGGACCATAAAGAAGGCTGATCGCCGAAGAATTGATGCTTTTGAATTATGGTGCTGGAGGAGACTCTTGAGAGTCCCATGGACTGCAAGAAGATCAAACGTATCCATTCTTAAGGAAATCAGCCCTGAGTGCTCACTGGAAGGACAGATCCTGAAGCTGAGGCTCCAATACTTTGGCCACCTCATGAGAAGAGAAGACTCCCTAGAAAAGACCCTGATGTTGGGAAAGATGGAGGACACAAGGAAAAGGGGACGACAGAGGATGAGATGGTTTGACAGTGTTTTTGAAGCTACCAGCATGAGTTTGACCAAACTGCGGGAGGCAGTGGAAGACAGGAGTGCTAGCCTGGTCCATGCTCTGGTCCATGGGGTCACGAAGAGTCAGACACGACTAAACGACTAAACAACAACAACAACAGGGGAACCATTAGCTATACTGGCGGGGGCTGCTGGGAGTTATAGTCCAACATTAGCTGGAGGGCCCCACATTGGGTATCTTTTTTTCTAATCACTTCTCCACTAGGAATTGAAGGATCAGTCAATTTCAGTACTCTCTGTTTCTTATTTTTCCAATCTTAAATTCAGTTCTCCATATTTTGCACTCTTTGGGGGGCGGGGTTAATCCCACAGAAATTCTTCAGCATTTTAGAGTGAATCTCTCCTCATAAACACATTTCATATGGAATTTTGACTAATGCAAGCAACATTCCCTAATAAAGACAATTTGGTGTGCTGTTTTCACCAGTATATTCATTGTTATGCTTGCTTTTTCCTAATCAATGCATTTTTTTGGTAATGCCTCTCCTCCTCCCGGAGGGGAGGGATTGTGATTGGGAACCGTTCCCGCGCTTCGCAGGGGCGTTCCGGCCCCTGCTCACTGTCACTGCTGACGCGCCACGCTCCCCGTTCAGTCTTCCAATCGGTGCGAAGCTCGGGGGTGGGGTTTAGCTGCTGAAATGCGGCCGCGGCAGCTCTTCCCCTCATTGCGCTGCCGGGTTTCGTCGGGTCACCCACCCACCCTCCTTTCCCTTTAGTTCATCCTTTTGCGCTTGACCTTGCTATGGACCTATGGTTGGTCGCCTTGATTGCCCAAGGGGCCTGGTAGGAGTTTTTACCCAATTGGCAAATTGGCACCGGCCACTTGGTTTGTCGCCTACCTTGTAGCAATTCGTCACAACTTTTCCGGTATTGGCGGTTAGGCATTGGAATGTGTTGTTGGTGTATGGAAGGGCAGGGTGTGGCCATTGCCTACCTCTTCACTTATGGGTATTCTGTTAAAGGAATCCAGCGGTCGTGGATCCTGTCTGATGCCCTGCTGCTGGCTGGGGGCCATGGCATGACCCCCGGTGACATCAGGGGAAAGCTTACAGTTGTATTTGCATCAACAGGCTCCCCCTACTGGGGGTTTAACCCTTGTTAGACTCACCCCTCCCTGAGTGGATGGAGTCAAACTTTGCTGTTTTTTCCAATGCCTAAGCCAATACCTCTCACATGCTGTAATCAATAAAGGTGTGGCCTTTTCTAGCCCATTAACCTAAAATACTGTGTCCAGGTGTCTTTCTTATCCCCAATCAAGGGGAGCGGGTCCTCGAATCACAAACATTATTTGGACGGCAAGCTCCAGAGTTAAATTTCAATCAGTGCCAGTTTTGGAGGGTAGCTGTGTTTCCGTTTACATACTGTTTCAGAAAGTGAATTTGGACAGAATAAGAGCTTGCAGCTAGATCAGGCCAATGGCCCATCTAGTTCAGCAGCCTCTTCTGTTTTTTAAAAAATAATATTTATTAAAGTTTCAAAAACAGAAGATTACATAGATAAAAAGAAAAGAAACAAAATAAAAAATAAAAAAGATAAAAAATACAAAATACAGAAAAAAGATAAAAAAACACTTAAAAACAAATTAATCTTTCCGTACCTTGCATTTCATTTCCTTGTTTCCCTGACCTCCTCTCACCTCCCTTTTTTGTATTCCAGTTCAATTGGTTAATTCAGCAATTCCTTTCCCTCTTTGTTTTTGTCTTAATCCTTTAACTTAATATATTATAGCTTTGAATTCTCACCTATTAACAATCCATTTTTACATACACCTTTATAACATTGCTGCTAAAACCACTTAACTTCATTCTGACATCATTCTAACATTCATTAATTTTGCAGTATTTCTGTAAATAGTCTTTAAATTTCTTCCAATCTTCTTCCACCGACTCTTCTCCCTGGTCTCGGATTCTGCCAGTCATTTCCGCCAATTCCATATAGTCTATCACCTTCATCTGCCATTCCTCCAGAGTGGGTAAATCTTGTGTCTTCCAATATTTTGCAATAAGTATTCTTGCTGCTGTTGTGGCATACATAAAGAAAGTTCTATCCTTCTTTGGCACCAATTGGCCGACTATGCCCAGGAGAAAGGCCTCTGGTTTCTTCAAGAAGGTATATTTAAATACCTTTTTCATTTCATTATAAATCATCTCCCAGAAAGCCTTAATCCTTGGGCACGTCCACCAAAGGTGAAAGAATGTACCTTCAGTTTCTTTACATTTCCAACATTTGTTATCGGGCAAATGATAGATTTTGCAAGCTTGACTGGTGTCATGTACCACCTGTATATCATTTTCATAATATTCTCTCTTAAGGCATTACATGCCGTAAACTTCATACCTGTGGTCCATAACTGTTCCCAGTCAGCCATCATTATGTTATGTCCAACATCTTGTGCCCATTTAATCATAGCAGATTTCACCGTTTCATCCTGAGTATTCCATTTCAACAGCAAGTTATACATCTTTGACAAAATCTTGGTTTTGGGTTCTAACAGTTCTGTTTCCAATTTTGATTTTTCCACCTGGAAGCCAATTTTCTTGTCCAAATTGTATGCCTCCATTATCTGTGGTTGGCCACTGTCAGAAGAGGCTGCTGGAAGCCCAAGAAGTCCAGCAGCCTCTTCTGACAGTGGCCAACCAGGTGCCTGTGGAAAACCAAAAAGCAGGATTCAAGCACCAGAGCCCTCTTCCCGTCTTGTTATTTTCGGCAACTGGTATTCAGAAGCATTGCTGCCTCCAGCTGTGGAGGCAGAACATGGTTACTAGCCATTGATAGTCCTATCTTCTGTGAATCTTTCCAATCCTCTTTTAAAGCCATCCAAGTTGGTGGCCATCATTGCCTCCTGGGGGAGCAAGCTCCATAGCTTAACTATTGGCTGAAATTGAAAGACACAAAAATTGACAGGTTCTCCCTAACAAAAAATCATGGTCCTATTATTGACAATCCAAATATTGCCAGAAGGCTTGATTCCTCCCAGGCTGTTGAGTTGTGTTAGGAAAGTAATCAGAAATGTAGAAGGCTAAACTGTTAGATTATTTTGGGTTTTTTTTAAAGGGCTGGGGAGTTCCTTGTGTCTCCGTCTTTCCATTTGCACTTGCACCCTGATGTATCCTCTTTCCAGTTCACCTGTTTAACCTGATGATCCATCTTCCCTTCCATTTGTTCCGTTTCCCCAGTTGCCATTTTCCAAGACATCCCCACCATTAGGAGGCTCAGGGGAAGAGGATGCTCTATCTCTCCCAAGCTCTTTTCAAACTCTGCCCAGAAACATTAGCATCGTGTATAAATAGCTGCTTTTTACACATGGGGGGGGGGGAATATGATGGCAGCACTTACCAAAGAAGCCTACCGAAACAAGCCACAAACCTGGTAGAGGAAAAAGAGATGTCAGTGTTGTTCTGTAAATACATCCTGTATAGAATTTCTCTTATGTGACTTAAGAATTAGAGTGGAGGCTGGTCTTTTAGGGCAAATTGAGTGCTGCCCCCACCAAGCTCAGTCTGCCCTCAGCCATTCCCAATATGTCTATCTTCACACTTTGGCTCCCTCTGCACTCTAGATTTAAACAGATATTAAAGGTAAAGGGACCCCTGACCATTAGGTCTAGTCGTGACCAACTCTGGGGTTGCGGCGCTCATCTTGCTTTATTGGCCGAGGGAGCCGGCGTACAGCTTCCGGGTCATGTGGCCAGCATGACTAAGTCGCTTCTGGCGAACCAGAGCAGTGCATGGAAACACCCTTTACCTTCCCACCGGAGTGGTACCTATTTATCTACTTGCACTTTGACGTGCTTTCGAACTGCTAGGTTGGCAGGAGCAGGGACCAAGCAACGGGAGCTCAGCCCGTCGCGGGGATTTGAACTGCTGACCTTCTGATCGGCAAGCCCAAGAGGCTCAGTGGTTTAACCCACAGTGCCACCCGGGTCCAAACAGGTATTATACCACTTTAAACAGTCAGGACTGTCCCCAAAGAATCCTGGGAACTGTAGTGAGACCCCTATTCCCCTCATAGAGCTACAATTCTCAGACTGGTTTGAACGGTAAGTTCCTCTTCCCAGGGAACTCTGAGGACTATAGCTTTGTGAATGGAATAGGTGTCTCCTAATAAGTCTCTGCGCCCTTAAGCAACTACCATTCCCATGATTCTTTGGGGGAAGCTCTGACTGTTTAAAGTAGCACTTTAAATGTATAGTGCAGATGGGCCCTTTCAACCAGGGGAGCTTCCTCCTAATCAGTCTCTGTGTTGTCCCCAATAGAACTCAGCTGGCAGGAGGATGGGGACAAATCTAGAATTATTTGGCTCTGTCTTTCATTGGCTCTGGCTCCACCTAGTGCTGGGCTCCCTGAATTCTACCCAGTCAGTTCCATTGGCCACTCCAATAAATTAAAACTTCAGTTTTTCACTAGCAATCAACTCTCCACCAGCTCATTGGATCTATTAGTGAAAATAAACATCCAAATGCCGTATTTTTCTATGTATAAGACTAGGTTTTTCCCTAAAAAATTATGTCAAAAATTAGGAGACATCTTATACACGGATACATCTCTCCCCCCCCCCATTTTCTTAAATCTGAGTCCCCAGAAATATGGGGTGTCTTATACATGGGGGCGTCTTATAGATGGAAAAATACGGTAGTTTAGGATTTTAAAAGCAAATATGTGCTCTGAAATGAGAGGGGGCAGTTGCCAAGTTACCAAATTCCCCATCGCCCTTGGAAAGGTTGAATAGATT